CACTTATAACAAACATCTGTTACAACAGGATTTCTAAGTTTTGTCTGGTTGACCTAGCACATTTATTTCTTTAATCCTGGGTTTCTCAGCAGTGGCACGATTGACATTTTGAGTTGATACCTCTTTGTTATAGAGCACTTCCTTGGGGATCCTTACAGCACTGTAGAATGTTTAGCAAGTCTTTGGGCTATACCTGGATTCCATGCCAATAGCACCTTCTTCCCACCAGTCATGATAAAAAAATATGTCCAGACATTGTGAGATGGCTCCATACAGGCAAAAACCCATCTTAGTTGAGAAATACTGCTTGAAACAGTAAAACATGAATGTATTTTTAAAAGTTAAAAACAGTATATGAGATACAAGCAAGTCCCTCTCCCTCTCCCTCCACTTTCTCTCGCCTCCTACCCCGGGAACACTTCTTGTATCTAGACATAGTGAATATTCATGATCTCATATGTGTTCCAGAAAGTTGTCATGCACATAGGAATATATGCATTTATCCTGCACTTCCATGAACATTCATGCTATACCTTTATTGTCATGATAATAACATGTTTAAGATTTTTGTAGTACATTTGCATATGAATTTAGTCTTTTTAACATGTGTATCATATTTTGTGATTTCCTAGTGTTTTCATTAACCAATGTACCTGCATGTTCTACTTTTTATTTTTCCAAATAATGCTACTGTAAACACGCCTTATATTTTCATGTGGAATACTAGGTGATTACAGCTATAAGATATAATTTCGAGTATGTCCCTAAAAGTAGAATCACTGAGTCCAAGGAAATATCAGAAGAGTAAAAGCTGGTACCTCTCTGAGTGTGCATTTAAAACAAATGAGATTTCTATATTTCTGAGTGTGTTTTCTTCCATGATCTCACTGCGTGGACTGTTTGCCTATTTTTCTAGCAGCTTGTAGGGTGGTTTCTTTCTGATTTATAAGGACTCTTCATATACAAGGGCACTTCAGAGAGTTGGTGGAAAATAAAATTAATGGATATATTTATTTTGGTACAAAAATGTGCAATTCATGCATATGAGGGGTCTTGGAAAAGTTCAAGCAAAACGCAAATTATGAAAATAGTATTTGGCACAGTAGTTATGAACCTCTTAGGACAACTGCATTCTATATTGGAGTGTATGGGTTTGAGTCCAGGCTGTAGTCCTGATTTCAGGTTCCCACTAATGCACACAGCAGTGATGGCCCACATACCTGGGTATCAGGGTATCAGACACTGATAAGGGTTTGGGTTCCTGTCTTCAGCCTGACCTAGGGTGTTGGAGACATTTGGGGAGAGGATATAAAATTCTCTGTCTTGCTTTTGCTCTCGCTCGCTCTCTCTCTCACCGATACATAAAAAATAAATTTAAAACTTGAAAAACAAATATTTAAAGCAGAATTAACTGATAACATTTAAAAAGAACTATGGCATGGATTTCAAAAAAGTTTTTGCACAAAATAAACATCTTTTAATTTTATTTACCTATGAACTTTCAAAAATATCTTCATTTTTACTATTCTATCATATTTTACATTGTATTGTCAGCTTTGGATGTTTCTTTGGTTTCTGTTTTTTCACACTTTATTTTCCTAATGATTTGTGAATATTTACTACTTCTGATGTGGTTTACTGCTGGAGGGAAGTGTGAAGCCAGCTTGATTCTTGTAGGCTAATTGCTTTTTCTGCCTCAATATACTTACCAACTAATCTTATAAAATTTTAAAACTCATTAATTCTGATAACAGGATATATATGGGTGTGGATCTTTCTGTATTTGTTTTTTGTTCTGTTTTTTAGGTTAAAAAAAAAGTCTCCTCTATTGGCTGAGGGAGGTTTTAGAATATTTCAGAAATTTTTCTTCTGTTATATCTTTCAATACTTTCTTTCCAGTTGTACTTGTTCTTTATAAAAAAAAATGCCATTTTTGGAGAAGGCTTCTTATTTTCTCAGTGTCTCTAAACATCAGCACTGCCCTTCGGTTCTCTGCTGACACATTTCTCCAGGCCACCCCAGCTCTCCCTCACTGGTTCCAGCAATGCCAGGTCTGGTTTTATTTCCCTTTATGTGACTTTTAATCTAAGACCTTGATTTTTTTCTGTTTGCCTCCTTCTTTGATGTCTTATACATCGTATTTTATCACTTGTTTGGAAAGAAAGTACTTTTTCTTTAGGTCTTTTAGGCTCACCTAAATATTAGAAATGTTCTTCCTGCCCAGATGCCTGATTCATCTGTGGCGATAATTTCATATGCTTTTATCATATTCCTATATGTTTTTCTGTATTATTCTTTGACGACGTCTAGGGGAGAAAGGCTTCCAAGCTGTCTCAGAGCACTTCCTTGTTGAATTTTCTGTCTGTTCTCCACTGGTCACCTGTCACCTTGCAATAATAAACACTTCATTGCTACCATTTCATACTCTTGGTAGAAGAATCCTTCATTCTTCACAGAAAATTCTTATGTGTTACGAATTTTCTCTTGCATTTTTTTTCTCTTCAGTTTATCTTGATCAGCGCCTGCCAGGTTGGCTTTCACTTAGTTTTCTGCCATTCTGTCTACTTCATTCTTGGCAGGGGATGGGGGAGATGTGGGGAAGAGGGATGTGTGTGCATGCATTGCCGTTAGCTTCAAGGTGTCTGCTCCATTAAATCCATAAAAGGACCTCAGGCACTCCTTGCCCCTACCTCTGTATTTTATCCTCTAAATAAGAGTAGTTCAGCCATTTCTTGGAAAACATTAAATTTTATTTCATTCTACAAATTTTTGTCTGCTATTGGCAGTCTCCCTTGATTTGATCTGGTCTTATATTTATGAACATCTTTATATATCGTACATAGTTTTGATAAAGGCTATTGAAAATAGTATGCCCTCCTTTTTTCTTTCTGTTTTCAATTTTTTGGACTGTTTTCAATTGATGAAAGGGAGGAGAAAACAGTAGAAATATTTCTATTGTATCACCTTCCACATCACAAATTAACTGGAATATGCAATTAAATAAAATTCTTACTGGCTGTCAGTGTGCTTTCAATTGTTTGGATGGGAAAATTCAGATATATCATACAGTTGTGGGAAAATTAAGTTAAAACATTTGAGGGGCTGGAGCTGTGGCGCAGCAGGTTAAAGCCCTGGCCTGAAGGCCAGCATCCCATATGGGCGCCAGTTCTAGTCCCTGCAGCTCCTCTTCTGATCCAGCTCTCTGCTATGGCCTGGGAAAGCAGTAGAAGATGGCCCAAGTCCTTGGGCTGCTGCACTCGCATGGGAGACCCAGAAGAAGCTCCTGGCTCCTGGCTTTGGATCTGCGCAGCTCTGGCCATTGTGGCCATCTGGGGAGTAAACCAGCAGATGGAAGACCTCTCTGTCTCTACCTCTACCTCTCTGTAACTCTGCCTTTCAAATAAAGAAAATAAATCTTTAAAAAAAATTGAAGCAATTTACGAACACACTTGAATCTAGGCCCTCATTGCATTGAAAGTTTGATTCAAGTGTTAATTGCTGAGATCTCAAGTAGTAAGGAGCGGGTGGGTTGAGATTGTGGCTTTGGGGAAGCTTACTACTTGAACAGATGTTGTAAGAGTGCAGAACGCTGCACAAACCTCTGGTTCTTAGTTGTCCTCCAGTATTTCTTCACTCAATAGCCAGGCCTCTTTGGGACCCCGTGGGAGGATAATTGAAATTTAAAGTGAATAGGGAGGATCTCTGAAAGCGAACACGCTTATCTTGGATTCAGGAGGGAGCACTAGTAGTTTATGGAACTGGGGATTGAAATGATGAAAGCTCTATTTAAGGAAAACTTCCATCTAGCAATTGAATTGACATGTTTAATTTGATCCTGCTGGGACGTGGTGAGTCCCTGTTTGTACAGAGTATCACACTGGATATAGTTGTGTACAGAGCAGTGTAGAGAACAATTCCTGTCTCAGGAAACTTGGACTGGTGGAGTTAAGAAACTGATTTTGAAAAACCTGACACAGGTCATTGCAATGCCAGCGTTGATTTCAACCCGGTGTTATCCTGGTGTAGCTTTCTCCATTGCCAATTATTTTCTACCACAGAAACTGATTTAGTCTGTCATTGTATATACCGTGAGAGTTAATTCTGTGATTTGTATGGAGTATGTTAAAGTTTACCCCACATCACTGGAGTTCTGTCTCGTTGTATGCAAACACCAGTGTTTTGTATTCCTTGTTTCCATATTTGCCCACTTCTAGGGTTTCTGTCCATCCTCCTCATTGCTCACCCCCATTCTACTCCCTCTTACTGCCTCCATGGCTTTTCCTGATTATACCTGAGTGAAATGTTATTCTCTAAAATTGTTTTATTCCCCTGTCATTTGGCACTCATTATGATCTTGGCAACTTTGCTCTGTAGCCATTTTTATGTCAGTCTTGCCTAAGCAAGTAGAATTATAGACTGCTTGAAAGCATGAATAATAGTCTGACATTTTATTTTTCTAGTCATCCCATCTACTCCAAAAGGTGACTTGAGTATGCTTCTTTCATGCTAGTGTGTTGGGACCTTCACAGACCTCCAGTCAAAGAGAGTCAATACTTTGTGACCTTAAAACACACTTGACCAACAGACGAGTTGTTGCTGTTGTCAACTTCATATTTTTATCTATTTGGAAGCCCTACAAAGACAAATAATATTTCTCAAATCAACTTTATGGAACAAATGTGCATTGATCTTCCAATCAATGAGAAAGTGTTGACACAAAGCATATTTGAGAAAAATTCAGTTGCTTTTGTGTAAACATATGCATATTACCTCTGAAAATTGATGTGCCTTAAATATAAATTTTCTTTCTTGTATTGATGTTTGTGATATCAGGCACTTAACATCCTACAAAAGAATAACTGCTCTCTATGGTCCTGTGGCTCACTATTCCTTAGCAGCTGTGTCCAGCTGGTCGGCCACATTCCCCATGACTTTTTCAGTGAATGGCAACACTGAGGTCAATATTGATATAAAGCTTCATGAACTTTCTTCTCTTTCAGCTCTGGTTCGCCTTTGTTAATGGATTTTCTGGGCAGATTTTATTCGAACGTTGGTGCATCGGCTTGTACAATGTGGTAAGCCTTCTCCCTCTCTATCTGATGGCATGCAGAACTTCAGGGACATTCCTTCACTGTTTATGTCTGGGAAGTGTGTGTAAGTCAATCATTTGTGTACTTAGCAGGCAGCACAAATACATCTTTAGGGCCTTTGTTGCTGCGACACATCCTGCAGAAGCCCAAACGCTCCACACATGGTTTCAATCATAGCAGATCATTCTTGAATAACCCCATGAAATTATTAACCCATATATCTTGATAATAGACCCTTGTTACCCCTTTACTAAATGCCTGCACAACATTTTCATGTTTTTAGCTCAAGTAAAAATTTCTGAATTACATCTGAACTCACTGCACTTCATATTTTGACTTTTGAATTCTTAAACATAGATACAAGTGTGCAGCATGGGATCGAGTGTCATTTTTGTCCTCCTTAAAAGAAGCATCTGTCCTTGTGGAAGAACGTGTTCTTCCACTGGTAGTGCTAAAATAATGAATTCTGACTTCCAGCCACCGTGGAGAATGGTAATCAGCTTATTTGGTATTTTTCATGATTTTCAAGTTCTTTTTTCATTACTTGACTGTAATGAATTCACAGGCTAGGAATATATATAAACTGTAAGCTGAAGTGACTCAGGAGCTGCTTAGCGTTCCTGCATTTTGTTTCACTGACAGGAAGAACTGATAGGCTTGTAGCAGAATATCTTGGAGACCTCAGAATGGCCTCTTGAGCTGTGCACTACCCCTTACTTCAGACCCTGGCTCCAGCAGCCTCTGCCCTGAGGGATTTTTCTTTCTGAAGCAGCCATCATGGATAGGATTCTCCATGTTATACTATGCTGTAACAAGCAGTGAGGCTGTGTACACATTAGTGACTAGATATCCGAAGCACCCATATATTCAACCCTCTTTGGTGAGCATCCAGGATGCTGCATGCTGGGGATTGAATGCAGCAGCCTGACCTTGGCCCTGTGTGCCTTTCAGGTTGAGAAGGTCAAATGTGTGCCCTTGGATGCCTCTGAGGCTGCGTTGGTCAGCCAGGACCTGAGGTCACTCACGGCTGCGTGCCTGTCACCTTCCTACAGATGCTGATGCCCTGGAAGTGAGCGGTGGTGAATTGATGTGCTGGAGAAGCCCCTCTAGTCCGCCACCCCAGGGACAGGGGCTCTGCAGCCTCACCTTCGTAGAACAAAGGGAGACCAGAAATTGTTGACTTGCAGGCCTTGAAGTTTTCCTGAGTAGGTCAGAGTTACGCGGTTGTTTGGGATAAATATGCTGACTGCTCTACAATGATTGAGCACGTACGATGTGTGCGGTTCAGGGAATGGAAACTTCTGAAACCGTGACTGGACACTCAGAAGGTATCCTTCACCATTTAAAAATTTAAAACTTTCATATAGCAAAAGAAGCCATTAAAAAAAAAACTGACAGACAAAGAGGGCACTTGGATGAAATTCTATAACACAAACCAAGTAGACATCTGTTCTAATCCACAAAGTCTTGGAAAGTGGGTAAAGCATGAATAGTAAGTGGACAAAGGACCTGATAAGAGGTTTCATGAATGACCAATAAATATGTGAAAACATGCTCGCACTCACCAGTGGCCAGGGAAGTGCACATTTTTAAAAGTATGAGTTAATATCTTTAACTTTTCAGAGTGGGTAATAACCAAGACCAGTATAACTCTGACTCCTAGGGAACTAGGGTGACGTTACTCTTCCTTTGCGAGGGGAGAGGTAAATGATTTAAACCTTTTTTGAAAGCAACCCCTCAGTGTCTGGTACAAGTAAAACTACATGAATTCTTTGACCAAACTACCCCACAGAAAATTTTTTAAAAAGTACGTAAATTGTAATATGTTATAGATGTTTATTCCATAGTGTTTGTGGTAATGAAAAATTGAAACCAAAATGCGTGTTAGTGCAGTGGGCAAGTGACTGAGGAAGTATGGGTTCATCCATACTGTGAATTATTATGTAGACATCAGAAACACCGCATTAGCGTTGAAATCAGTGGGCTCAGAAGGCTTTCCGTGATGGACGGTTTAGCAGTCAGAGTATGAGGAAGAAAAATGCATGTAATATCCCCTCTTTTGCAAAACAGATGCTCCCACACCAATCAGCATTTGTGTATACAGGGTGCCGTAAGCAGGGGGAAGACTGGTAGAGCCTACTTCACTGTCAGCCCAGAGATGCTGAGTGGGGGTGGATGGGGAGTGGGTGGAAGGAGACAGTCAAGTTCTTCAAAAAGGAAAAGAAAAAAGCCAGCACATGTATGCACCGATGCAGAGCAATGGGGGCAAGAACATGAGCTCAAAAAGCTTGTGAAACTTCTGATCTGTTAGACGGGGCGCCTCCTTCTTGCCATAGAACGCCCAGCGTCTGTGACTGGGAGGGAAGCGAGTACAACAGCTCCGCATCGATTTCTTCCTGAAATCTGTGCAGCTTGTAGGAATCCCAGGGCTGCTTCCTGTCTGCCCGGGGTGAAGGAGGCGCGGGAGAGCTTCCCTGGCTTCAGTCACCACGCCTCTGCTGGCTGGATCCTTGCAGACTTGGGAAGGCGTGTTTCTCTGGCCAGACACTCACTCCAAATAAGTGCTGTGAGTTCAGGGTTCTCTACGAGAGGCACATCTGATCCCCACAGGCTTTGGCTTTGTGAGCTTGCTGGGTTTGTGGATCTGGATTTGATGGGTGCTCAGAGCAGTGAGAACCAAATTGGAGGACGACCCCCAGGGCCACACAGCAGTTAGGAGGGTTAGGTTCTAGTGCTCCGTGGCACAGCAGGGTGACTCTTAGGTAACCATCATGTATTGTGAATTTCAAAACCACTAGAAGAAAGGATTTAGAATGTTTCTATTACAAAGAAATGATAAATATCTGAGCTGATTATCCTGATTTGCTGATTGTACATTGTATACGTATATTGAAATATCAACCATACCCATGAATATATACAATGGCATGTCAATTAAAAATAAATAAATAAAATGTTTCAATGTCAAAAAATAGTCCAAGTCTTAGAAGGCACTTTGTGTCCAAGAATGCAGTTGTCATGGAAGATTATCCAGTCTCTCACCCATCCTTGGCTTGCACCAGGCTCTCAGCCAGCTGCCATTGTGTGTCTTAGAACCCCGCCCTTCAGCCATAAAATATATGTGTGTGTGTGTGTGTGTGTGTGTGTGTGTGTGGTCATAAGTGCCTGGAGCTTTGTGAGGGGTGGTCCTTTGTCAGGGCATGCTTCCTCACGCACCATGTCCATCATCACTCTACCAAATCCTAGAGGTCACGTGCCTTGGTGACAGTCTTTCTCTTCTCCACCTTGCCTGCCCTCCCCCATGAATAATTTTGCAGAGCACTGTGTTTCTATTTATTCATTTTATTTTTTTATCTATTGATAAACCTATTGCCCTGCTGGCCCCTGTCCCGACCTTACAGTACATGCAGTTCCCAGAGGCCAAAGCCCTGCTTCCTTTGCTTCTTCCCTCTCGAGTTTGTAAAGATCTCTGTTCCTGGTGCTCATCACAGTGCCTGGCCCATCCTTCCTTCACCTTGAATAGGAAAATCAGGATGGGAGGCTGTAAGATTGTGCCTCCGCTAACGGAGCACAGCATCACCACCCGAAACCCATCACTGCCCCTTTTGCAAAGGAAGGTACTTGTTCATTTTACCAAGAGTTCTTGGCTCATCAGAAATGTATGATGTTGGCTTTAGTGGCCGTGTATTCGTTCTGCACTGATGAACGGTAAGAAAAGGTCTTTCATTTGTTTTCTTTGTCTGGGGAGTTGTGAATCACTGAGTCTCAGGTTCGGACTTGACTGGAAATGAAGTCATCGTTCCTCGGGCCTGAGACACTGGAGCTGTGTGCCTCGGAAGGGCCGCGCTTAATAGCTCATTGTTCTCCACGCAGATTTTCACCGCCCTGCCGCCCTTCACCCTGGGGATCTTCGAGAGGTCTTGCACTCAGGAGAGCATGCTCAGGTTTCCACAGCTCTACAAAATCACCCAGAACGCCGAAGGCTTCAACACAAAGGTATCCACAGGGGCTACAGAGCGGCCCCCGAGAAGGGTGTGTGCGGCTGTCTTTTGTGGTTCAGCTCTGGTCATCCGACTGTGAGGAGCATTTCAGAAGCAGTGAGAGTGTGCACCCCCTTCCAGGCAGCAAGCCCAGGGAGTCGGTGATGCATTTCTGGGGAAAGGGGTCCCGGATGTGGGGCTGGCTCTCCCAGCTCCAGTCAGTCAGCTCCTGCCCTCTTCTTGGCTTTGGCTGCCAGACCCTGTGAGGGCAGCAACACCCACAGCCTGGGTCCTTTAAGATCAGCCCTTAGAGACCGCATATGCTTTCAGACAGCGGACTTGAGGCCGACTGGGAGCTTATCTGTTGCTGGAGTTGCATCTTAAGGAAACGATTTCAAGGGCAGGTGGTCGGCACAGCACGTAAAATGCCATGTGGTGGTGGCATCATATATCATACTGCCTGAGTTCAAGTCCCGGCTTCACTCCCAATTCCTGCTTCCCTAGGAGGCAACAGGTGATGGCTCAAGTACGTGGGTCCCTGACACCCATGTGGGAGACCCAAATTCAGCCTAGTCCAGCCCTGGCAGTTGCAGGCATTGGTGAGTTAATCAGCAAATAGAAGACCTCTCTCTCTCTCTCTCTCTTTCCCCCTCCATCCCTCCCTCCCTCCCTCCCTCCCCCTCTCCTTCCCCTCTCCTTGCCCTACCTCCTCCCTCTCCCTTTCCTTCAAAAAAGATGTTTCTCAAAGTAGTAATATTGAATAGATAAAACCACAAGGATCAATGATGCCAGTCATGCAGTTTTTGTTTTTTTTTTTCAGATGAGAGTAGGAAAAGAGAAAGCATCTAGACAAAACAGGTGCGCAAGTTCAGCATCTCCTATCCAAAATACTTAGGACCAAAAGTATTTTGGATTTCAGATTTTTTTTCTGATTTGGGAATATCTGCATTTATATACATAGTGAGATATCTTGGAGATGGGACCAAAGTCTAAACACAAAATCCCTTTATGTTCCTTGTACACGAAAGTCCAAAGGTAATTGTGTGCAGTACTTTGAAGAATTTTGTGTGTGAAATAAAGTTTCATGGAATATAATTTTCTACTTATGGCATCATGTCAGCCCTCAGAAAGTTTAAGAGTTTGGAGTATTTTGAATTTTGGCATCTGGGATGCTCTACCTTGTACAGGCAATCCCGAGAAGACCCAAGCAGAAGCTGGGTTGTGCATGAAAGGGGCTCACTCAGTCTCTCACATGGCAAAGGGGTCCTGTTGCAGAGCCCCCTAAGAGCTCAGGGCCACCTGCTCAAAGGGAAGTCGTGTGGCTCACCTGCAGAAGAGTCCAGATGTGAGAACAGCTGCATGACCATCCGTGTTTCCATCTTAGGTTTATGTGCAGGAGAGAATTAGGCAATTTAAACACAGGTCCATTGCCAAGTTCAGTTACAAGACTATGAACTGGTTGTGTTCACTATGTGCTGGGGCCTTAGGAGTGATGACGTGGGGAGACACCTCGCAGGTCCATAGCAGACACAACCTCTGAAGCCTTCCTTTCCAAGCCAGATGTTACCGACAGTCATCCTTCCCAGCCACCTTATCCTTAGGCAGGTGCAATAAGCATATCTGAGACTGGGAAAAATAAATAAATAAAAAAGACCCATCCTAATGGTTCCACCATCTTCCACACACAAAGAAACTATTAACAGGGAAACAAGATCCATTTTCTCTGCATAATTTACATAAATCTGTTGTCTATAGAGTTTGAATTCAAAGACCATTTGGACCAATGCCAAAGGAAGCAGAACCAAGTCTACCAAGACTTATTTGCAGGCGCTTTGAAGATTTTGTTTTGTTTTAGTAGAGAGATCAGGAAATAGGTGGGGAGAAGTGGATGTTTAAAATGGAAGAATATTGCATTGTCTTATCATAATGTTTCTCATTATTTTCCCCTATCCCACTTCTCCTTAGGATTAGATGTGTGATAACTCCCAGAACCATCTGGAAAATTCACAATACATGAAATCTAGTTGTAACAGTTTTGTCATCTCAGTGGCTAAAAAGATGATTGAAATGCATTAATGAAACCTTAGGGTAAACTAAAGTTTGTGTTCTTTAGTTACTTTCAAGCATTCAAATAAAAAAAAAGAATTTTAATGTGAATAATATTAACCCAGATCTCCAAAATTAATGGAAAAAATGAATAAATTTTTTTAAAGATTTGTTTTATTTATTTGAAAGACAGAGTTACAGAGAGAGAGGTCTTCTATCTGCTGGTTTACTCCCCAAATGTCCACAATGGCCAGAGCCGAGCCAATCTGAAGTCAGGAGCCAGGAGCTTCCTCCAGGTCTCCCATACGGGTGCAGGGGCCCAACGAGTTGGGCCATCATCTGCTGCTTTCCCAGGTGCATTAGCAGGGAGCTGGATCAGAAGGGGAGCAACCAGGACTCGAACTGGCACCCATATGGGATGCCAGTGCTTCAAGCCAGGGCTTTAACCCATTATGCCATAGCGCCAGCCTCTGAATAAAGAGATTTTCAAAGATAAAAGAGAATGCCATTTAGAATTTATATGTGACAGTTTCAATCTCTTATTAACAGTTTGGACCTAATGCCACTTTTGGATGACTATAAAATGTTGTCTGTCATGATGATAAAGAAAACTAATAGCTTGTTTTTCAGGTGTGGATAGATTGTGTGTTGCACTACATATACTCAGTTGTGTGTATATTTGAGGGTACTTCAAAATGTTCATGAGGAAATGCGATGAAAAGATGTTTGTTTCAGTGCAAAAAAGATTTTGAAGTCCATGCATACAAAAGGGTTCATGAAAAATGTACATTTTGAAAAATCTATGAATGGATTTCAGAAATTTTTTTGCACCAAAATAAACATTTTTGAATGCCATTTTTCCATGAATTTTTTTGATATACCCTGGTGTTTTGGTCTTTGCACTGAAATAATATTATCTGGTGTAAGTCCAATCATTTGTTTGTAAAAATGGAGGAAGAGTTGGATTTTATTTTAAAATTCAAAAACGATGTGCTCCTCGCAGAACTGTGCACCCGCTGCCAGCACCTTCACAATGCCGTGTCTGTTGAGAGCTACACAGAGGTCGCGAGTTCCGGGCGCTCATGACTCCCTGGGTTTGTTTTCCCGCAGGTTTTCTGGGGTCACTGCATCAACGCCTTGGTCCACTCCCTCATCCTCTTCTGGTTTCCCATGAAAGCACTGGAGCACGGTAACGGCTTCGTGATTTCAACTGTCAGCAAGTAGCTTTGCAGCCCCTCTGGTGCCAGTGTGTTCACAACTTTTTTTCTTTTTTTAGTTCTGCAGAATGAGAGATCACAAGAACACATTTCAGAGGAAAAATAAACCTAACAGCTAACCAGAGCTAGCCCCAGCTTTATAGCTTTTAGGTTTCGTCAGTTCTGGCTTTGAGAACCCATTTTCTTTCCAGTTGACTGGGTAGTTTAAGTACTGGGAATTCTAAACTCAATTTTTAATAACTCTTTGAGTCAGGAATCATGGGGAAAAAAAAGCACTATGCTATAATGAAATGTTGATGTGACTCTTGTCCTTGAGTTTGAAAATCTCTGTTAATTACTAGGGCTTTCATTTCCCCAAGCCTTGCAAACCGAAATTCAGAATAACTAAATCTTGCAAGTTTAATCTTCTTAGTTTTCTCCATGAGTCTCCTTCTGTCGATGCATCTCTTCTGAAGTGGTGGTTTGTTGGGGGACTCATTTTCCGTGTGAGTGTCGTTAGTCTGTCCCTGTAGCGGAAAGAGAACAGAGGCAGTCTCCTTGTTTGCTCACACTTCTTAATACATCCAGAATGCGGCCTCCTGAAGTGACGTCTCTCTAGTCTCAGCAAAGGAAAATGTATCATGAGAATGCTACTCTTTCATCCCTCTAAAATAGTAATAATCCCCCTGGGAAAGATTACCCCAAATGTTGACTAGACAAGGCCTTTTATTGTTCAAAGAATATGAAGTTTCCAAGCGTCTTTGTTTCTGTGTCAATGTGTTTTATGCCTCAAACAGAAATGATTCATCCTCGTGGCTATCTTTAACCTATTAAGTACTGATTGAGAGAAAATGCATGCACAGACAATTGCTCATGCCCTATGACCTGTCCTTCTAACTCCATCAGAACTGTTCTTCCTTCGAGGATCCCTGAGTCTTTAGATCAGAAAATAAAATTTTGGACCCCGGGAACTTCCCCCAAGAAGGGCATGGTTTGGAAATCATTTTCTTTTAACTCTAAAGCTTCCTGTGACTCATCTTTACTCATAGTGGGTTTAATGTGTTGTCAAACGGTTTGGTAAGTACAGGCTTACAAGTACTTGTTGGATGTGATTTTATTTCAGAAACCATGGCATTGTAGTGACAGAAGCATCATCAGAGCAGGATAGGAAAGCGATGGGACAATATATATGATGAGCATAAGAGCTATGAAACAACTTTGGCAATCGTCTTCTTGTCCCTAAGGCTGTATTTTCAGAATTTAGGAAGAAGCAGTGGATTACACAGACCTGCCACAGTTCTACCTCCGGGCCCCTGACCCTTCTCACCCAGACAGTGGACTGTTTCTAACTCAGAAGCGTTTGCCTTTGGACTCCAGAAGTCTTACAAGATGTTTGTTTACTTGCTTGCTTCAAAAAGAAGTGATGTGATGCCTTCGCAGTAGACACAGTGGCTTTCTCTTCCTAGAGCTGTGGTCCTGTGCTTTGAGTATGTGGCTTGTGGTTTATGGTGGGATTGCTCTCATTTGCCTACTCTGCCATGTAAATCCATTCCTTCACTTCACGTGGTCTGTGTTGAAAAGGAAGTAGACTCAGCAACTGCTAATTTATTGAGTAGAAATCACCAAGTGAATTTTAAGTTAGGTTCTGCCACCCTTATCTATTTCTTCCAAATTTTGCAATTTGCTTAACAGCCAACCAATAGGATGATTATCTACTATTTCTGTTATTAACACCATCATCATCAATTTCATCATTTCACTATTTTTCTTGAGCATTTAATATAGGGGTTTTCTTTTCATCACCCTGCAAACAATAATCTATTAAGTAAAACTCTTTAAGGGGAAATAAATTGCAAATAAATTGGCCTAAAACAACAGATGGCCACTGGTATTGTTGATTAGTTGACTTCCTCTAACAAATCAAATGTTTTAGAATGAATATCTAAATTCTTCCAATGAGTACAATACAAAAATAGTACATTAGTGCTTATTAGCCTTATTCTTTCATATAATATTTAAGTTTAACACTGGTGGGTGCCACGGGTGACAAATACACCAGTGTGGGTCTTACCTTCCAGGAGTGTGTAGTGTGGTCAAGGATATAATATTTGCACAAGGTAGCAGGAGGCAGAAACTAACTCTTGCCAGTTAGATATAGGTTAAATGTTACTGGAATTCAGAAAGCTGAGAGATTCCTTTTATTTGGAAATACTACTGGCTTCTAAGAAGAGGTACCCATGAAGTCCAATGAGGAAAAATCCAAAAAAGTGTGGAAATTCAGGGCAGGTGGAAAACGGTGGACAGATAGGCACTTTGACCAAAGATGAGAAAAGTTTGAGAAGAGTGGTGAAAGCTGAATTGTAGACAGCTTTGAAGATGAGAGTCAGAAATTGTGACTTAATTGCACACTTGTTGGAGAGTCAATATAAAATTTAGATCAAGAAGGAATTTTGGGATCACAACAGTTTGGGAAAATGAGCCCGCAGTGTCCTGTAAGGTGAATGGAAGAAGGAAAACTGGTAACAGGACACTTGTTGGGTCTGCAGAGGTGCCAGGTAGATGCTTCGTCAGGGTTAAACCCAGAAAAAGGGATTGTGTCAGAGAAGGGACTATGGAGAAAAACTGGGGCAAACCTGGGGTGTGCCAAGCACTCAGAGAATGCGGTGGATACAGACAGAGGCAAGCCAGATGCTGCCTCTCTTGCCCTCCTGGTGTCCACCCAAGTTCAGAGTTGATGACCAAGAACTATTGCTCAATAGCCAGCAAGTAGACTCCTGCAGGCTAAGGGTAGAGATTACAATACAGGGCCACAACCCTAGCTAGTGAGTCAGGGAGAGTCTTCTCCAAGGAAGTGATATTTAAGTTCTTGAAAGAGGAGAGGAAGGTGTGGTCAGGTAGAGCAGAGGACGTGTGGGAAAAGGAGCATCCCTGACCAGAACCAAGCTGCTGAAAAACCAGAAGAGGCTTTGGGAGGACCTGGGCCATGCACTGTCCTTTGTTGGAATCTGATGATCATTTCAAGACCAAAGAGCATCTCTGGCCCTGGACAGTGACTGTGGTGACCTGCCATGGACTGAATGTTTGTGTCTCCCTTAAGTAAAATGTTGAACCCTAATCCCAGGGTGATGGTGTCAGGAAGTGAGACTTTGGGGAAGTGATTAAGTCGTAAGGATGGGGCTCCATGGTGAGATTAGTGCCCTTATAAATAAGGGACCCCAGAGAGCTCCCTGGCCCCTTCTACCACTTACGGGTGCAGTGAGAAGTTGCCCTCTGTGAGAGGTGGGTCCTCACCAGACCCCAAATCTGCCACCACCTCAATCTTAGACTTCCCAGCTTCCACAACTATAAGAGGTAAATATCTAATGCTTAGAAGCATGCAGGCTATGGTGCTCTGTCAGGGCAGCACAGACGGACAAGGACACCTGCCTACCCCTCCTCTGTTCTCATGGCAGCTGTGTATCAGCACATGTCTTTCTGCATTTACAGTGTGGTAGGCAGCACCACCCCCAGCTGGGACCACTACAGCCTAGACAGGGGGCAGTGCCTGGAGAAGGGGACAAAGAAGTGGAGACTGAGAGCCGAGGGCTGGCAACTGGGGGCCTTCTCCTGGAAGGGTTGGAGGTAGAAGAGGTGCCAGCTGGGATTTTCCTGTGAAGATGAGCCAGTTCTGCAGAGAAACACAAAGGATTCGGCGAGAGTGTGGCAAGTTGTTTTTTGGAGGAGTGACAGGAAGTCAGTGGTGGAAATCAAGAAAGATGGAAGTTCAAGAGGTGCAGGGTATGTCAGCTGATCTGATTATTACTTGTTTATATGAGCTGATTTACTGTCCTACAAGGGTTTCTTTCTTTTTTTTTTTTAAGAATTCTCAAATTTTTTAAAAGATTTATTTATTTACTTGAAAGTCATAGTTACACACAGAGAGGAGAGGCAGAGAGAAAGAGAGAGGTCTTCCATCCACTGGTTCACTCTCCAGTTGGCCACAACGGCTGGAGATGCGCCGATCCGAAGCCAGGAGCCAGGAGCTTCTTCCGGGTCTCCCACGCGGGTACAGGGGCCCAAGGACTTGGGTCACCTTCTACTGCTTTCCCAGGCCACAGCAGAGAGCTGGAATGGAAGTGGAGCAGCCGGGACTAGAACCGGCGCCCATGTGGGATGCCAGCACTGCGGGCAGTGGCTTTTACCCGCTATGCCACAGTGCCGGCCTCATACAAGGGTTTCTTAACTGTCATTCAGGAGGATATATACACCCCACACCTCAAGAGGCAGAGGAACATGACGCCAGCTTGAGACACATAAGGTCTTCTCAAAGCAGGAGGACCCCAGTCTAACAGAAAAGAGCACTGTCCGATCCCTTCCATTGTCCAGGTGCTGCCCGACCTGCCCACGCCCAGAACCCTGAGCTGGACCAGGCACTCAGGTGCCTAAACTAGCTCCACACCTTCTTCCGTGCTGTGTGGATTATGTCCTCAAGACAGTGAGTTTTTTAGAAAATTCCCTCTCTACTCTCCCTGAAGAGAGGCTTAGGTGTATCAGTGCTATTCACTTTGGGGAAGGTGTGGGCACATTGTTCATTCCCTAGAATGCTTCCAAAAATTTAGCTTTGCTTATTTTTTTAAAGATTTATTTATTTATTTGATAAGGCAGAGTTACACAGAGAGAGGAGAGGCAGAAAGAGAGAGAGAGAGGTCTTCCATCCACTGGTTCACTCCCCAGTTGGCCTCAAGGGCCGGAGCTGCGCGGATCTGAAGTCAGGAGCCAGGAGCTTCTTCCAAGTCTCCCAGGTGGGTGCAGGGGCCCAAGGACCTGGGCCATCTTTCACTGCTATCCCAGGCCATAGCAGAGAGCTGGATCGGAAGTGGAGCAGCTGGGTCTCGAACCGGCGTCCATATGGGATGCTGGCGCTTCAGGCCAGGGCTTTAACCCGCTGTGCCACAGCGCGGGCCCCAGCTTTGCTTATTTTTGCATGGTTTTGGAGAGACTTTTCAGTGCACTC